TCTACTAAGAGCATCAGCGTGGCCGAGCTCTTTTCCAGGCTTGTATACAAGTTCGTACTTGTAAGCAGACAGCTTCAGAGCCCACCTGACCACTCGAGACGAAGCTTGCATGGGAACGGGCTTGTTGGCACCCAGCAGACCAAGAAGTGGCTTGTGGTCAGTGTGTGTTTCGAATGAGATGCCCCACAAGTACTGGTGGAACCGATCTACACCAAACACTAAAGCCAGTGCCTCCTTGTCGAGTTGACTGTAGTTTTGTTCTGCTTTTGACAAGCTCCTCGAGGCAAAAGCAATGGGATGTTCCCCGCCATCAGCATCTTTGTGCGCTAGAACTGCACCTATACCATAAGGCGATGCGTCACAGCTGAGGCAAACAGGTCTGGCAGGGTTGAAATGCACTAAAACTGGAGCTGATGTCACCAAGTGCTTGCAGGCATTGAATGCATCTTGTTGTTCATGTCTCCACTCCCACTTCTTCCCTTCACAAAGAAGTAAGTGCAGTGGACGAAGGAGTGACGAAAGATTGGGTAAGAAGCGCCTGGAGAAGTTTACAAGTCCCAAGAAGCTCTGAAGTGTTCTGACATCCTGAGGCACAGGAGCATGCAGAATGGCTGCTACCTTGTCAAGATTCGGGGAAAGGCCTTCCTTGCTGATGATGTGCCCGAGATACTCAACTTGCGGCACGAAGAAATGGCATTTTTCCAGTTTCAGCTGGAGGCCAGATTCCTGAAGCTTGCTAAGCACAGCACGAAGGTTGCGAAGGTGCTCAGCATTATTTGCGCCAGTCACAAGAATGTCGTCAAAATAGACTGCTATATGGGGCAGTCCCCTGAACAAGTTCTCCATCTCGCGCTGAAATATGGCAGCAGCAAATGAGACACCAAAAGGCAACTGGGTGTACTGAAATAACCCCATATGCGTCGAAATTGTGACATACTCCCTAGAGGCCTCGTCAAGAACAACTTGCTGGTACGCATCTCGCAAATCCAATTTTGTGAATTTCTCACCTCCAGCAAGCACAGTCCACAGGTCCTCGATCCTTGGGATGGGTTACTGCTCCACTGTTGCCACTGGGTTTATGGTGACACCAAAGTCTCCACAGATTCTGATGCGTCCATCCCTTTTGGTCACAGGAACAATAGGTGCAGCCCACTTTGCTGTCTTGACTGGAACAAGAATGGAATCTGTTCTTAGTCTATGGATTTCTTGAGTTACTCCATCTGTCAAGGCGTACGGCAGTGTACGTGGCTTGAAGAACCGAGGCGGAACATCTGAAGGAACATGTAGAGAAGCTTTAGCACCCTTGAATGTACCCAGGCCTTCTTCAAACACTTCGGCGTAGTCTTGGACTAGGTGTTTGACGTCAGAAAGTGCGTGGATGTTCACTTCAACATCGGAAACGCCAATGCCCAACTCACGCATCCAGTTGCGTCCAAGAAGAGTGGGCGATCCGTCTCCGGTCAGAAAAATAGGTAGGTCGGCCTCTCTGCCATGAAAATTCACACTGACATCAGCCCTGCCCTGAACCTTTTTTAGTTCCCCGGAATAGCTTCGCAGAAGCACTTGTGACGGCTGCTCAGGAACCGAAGGCGAAAGCTGAAGAAGACGCGACTTGGCCATGACAGAGACACTTGCCCCCATGTCCACTTCCATGCGGAGCGGCTTACCGCAAACGTCAACAGTGACGGTGAAAGGCGGAGGCGGCGTGGCTTAGTCGACTTGCCACATGTCAAAAACTTCGCAAAATGAAGTGGTAGCAGCGTCCTGCTTGCGTACCGTATTAACACGATGACGGTTACTCGACGACGGTGAACTGCAAGTTGAGAATGAACGTGCCTTGGTCGGGATGTTGCTTTGGGCTTGGCTGTCCCTTCGTCGCGAATTGCACACCTTCGCCAAATGACCTCATTTGTGGCAGTAAATGCAGATTGTCTTCACATGCTTGCATTTTGATGCAAGATGTCCGTCCCCGCAGCGGTAGCAGGTGATGTCCCCAGAACCCGACGAGACACGGTGAGTCGAAAAAGCTGCTTGTGCTCACTTGATCTATCTCACCTGAGTCCCTTTTTGCTGCTTCCATTGCCAAGGCGGTCTGCATGGCGTCGTCGAAGGTGTGGTCCGATTTTTCCTGAAGTCTTGCCTGGACATCTACATTGTTTATGACACACACGACGCGGTCCCGGAGCATGTTTTCGAGTTCAGCCCCAAAGTTGCAGTGTTTTGCCAAGTTGTTTGCGCCTCATAAACTGTCCGCATGTTCGATTTGCCATCGGTCAGTGTTTGCTGAACGGTGTAAATTAAGCGAAAAGAAATAAGGCCTGCACCTCGTCGGCACATCGTCATTCGTTTCGGGTGTCGTGCTGTGCCTGCACCGCTGAACTCACGCTGCACAATTTCTGAACTTCGCGTGCACAGCCGTGAATTGGTTCCGACCGGTGCAGGTGAATCGAACGGACCTTATGTTACTCTCCCTGTTGGAGTGTGCATTCGTAATAGACCGATCCCACCAGCCGATCAGCGCATGCGCCGGTTTTCCGGAGTTGCCCCGCCGCCATCTTAGTTGTAGTCAATCGGTCAACCAGACTACAGCGACTACGCAGTGGCCGCCGCTTTTTCAGTACTGCGCCGGAGCTTTGCGGACGTCTCTCCGATTTCACCAGCAAGAAAAAGTCGTCATGTGAGTATTTTCAATACCTACATTGTCTGTTAATGGGAGCAGGCGGCGCGAATTTCGGTCATAAGTGCCTGCTACTCCTTCGTTTCGGCGGGACTTAGGACAGCCACCCGTTCATTGCCTGTTGAGTACCGTTTTCATTTGAGTGATGTATGTAAGCGGTTGTTCTGCGCGACTGTTTTTTTCGCATGTGCATCTCGGGGATTGCAACGTTTGTTTGCACAGTGACGTGCTGTTGGGGACAGGCTTTATATGCGGCGCCGAACCTTTCGTGTCTTACGGCACTTACGTGCACGAGTGTCGCGTTCAACATACAACCTTTTGCGGTCTCAGCGGGAAGATTGTGGGCACTCTGTTCATGTAAGTCTTTTTTCCTCCTTCGAAGTGGGCACCGCATACTCGGTGTCCCGTGGTAGGCGTAAACTTGGAGAACCTGAGCACAAAAAGTTCCAGCATTATTTCACATGACACTGAACATCACCTACTGCGTTTTCAGGTTCCTTTTAAATGTCCAGTCTGCATGCTACCACTGCAAGACAACAGTATCACTTTCTCTTGATTAACGTACAAAAAGTTCCATATCAGTCAAGGGCAAATGACAAATGTAATTTTAATTTTCAGCCTCACTCGACAACGCCACACACAGGTAAATTATACAGCTGTTTGTGCCACTCATCTGCATAGGTGCAGCGAAATCGGCCGCGTGCATGCACCAGATAACTATTTTACGGAAAGGACGAGATTACAGAGGCACCGTTTGCATCGAGGGTGATCCGCGAAAGCTAATCGCCGTTTGGCACAACGAGTTCTGGGTAAATTGTTGCAAGCGTGCCGTGAAGTACGTTACGTCGTTTCTAAAAAGTAAGGTCTCGATGTACGGTAGAGCTATTAGGAGAGCCTCGTCAATGAGCTTGCCTTCCCCTTATGCCTGCATGCTTGCCACTTGCGTTGTAAAAAAAAAAAAAAAAAAACGCAAGCCGCGTACGCGGTGCTGCACTTGCGCAACATGGAAAACTAAAAGACCTCAGCACTACAACTCGTAATAATAATAATATTAGTACGCAGCGGTAACAAAAAACGCTATAATAAGGAAGATGCGCTAAAAAATGACCGGCATGCACAACCGCGAACCGCGGCTGAGCTATCCGGTAAGAGTATACGCAGGCAGAGTGAGCAAAGATCATATTCTTTGGTATGCTAAGCTTCATGATTAAACATTCACATAAAAAAACCACCGCAATACGCTTATTTAGTTTCAAAGTGGCACTATACATTTAATAAGATGTCTTACCTGCCGCCCCGTCCAGCCCTGTTGATACGCTGAATCCACGTCTCCCGAAGCTTTTGCTCTTTAGGAAAGACGTAGAAACCCAAGCCTTTATCCCTTGTGCTGTTGTTGTAGCATCCAGGAACACAGCACGTAAATCCTCCCATCGTAAGACGGCTCCACACGACCGAAAAATCTATCGAAAAGGGAACGCTCAGGCACTTCGGCTGGCTGGTGCGCCCGGACGACTACAAGTACCGGCATGCACCGCGGCTGCCGCGGCAGCGGTGGCGTCGCGAAACTGGCCTGTGGGATCGGTCTATTAGTTTCCTGTTGTCATGCTCTTTCCTTTCTTTGAATTCTTCATATAATTCTTTGGTGCTCTAAATCCCCATGTCGGCAATTTTCTTTTTGTTAATTAGCCCTTTTAGCTGAGTTAATTCAACTTTAGATCTTGAAGGGGTAGCCTTTGTAGATTGTTGTTTCTTTTTTCTTTTTTTTTTGTGATTTGTGAGAGTTTGCTTACTTCGTTCCCTAGTGCTTTAACCTAACTGCAGTTGCGTTTTAGGAATCAATGTAGTTATGGTTTTGTTCATTTCCTCTAAGTCATAATTTTTTTCTTGTTCTAGTCCTCGCATACGAGTGTTCTAGGGCAGCGCTGAGAATGCATGTGACTGTGGCTCTACTTAATTTTCAGAGGAGCCTTGCAATTTCTCTGCAAGTTATAATAATAATAATAATAATAATAATAATAATAATAATAATAATAATAATAATAATAATAATAATAATAATAATAATAATAGCAATAAAAATGGCATTTTTGGGTGCCTTGAAGTTCCGCATTCAATTTTTGCGGGCTTACTGACGATGATGACTATAATATTCAAGCATGTGAAGCGATTGTTTTCGTCAAACATTTAAAATGACAGATAAAAAACGAAAACGTATTAAGCACAAATCGCCGGTCATCGCTGCTGTGTCTGAGGTGGTGGCTGCGTTGAATTTTGCTTGCAACAACTTAGGCTTGCGTTGGCTCGTTTTCTGTGAAAAAAAGTGTCATGGCGGCTTCCGAGTTTGTCGTTGAACCAGCGCGAAGTTCAAGCTACGTGCTTATTTGCGGCAAGCACTCTTCCTCGCAATAAATCTGCTCTTCAGTGACGACAGTGATGAACACAAACGTTCACAGGTTCATAGAGCACCTCGTGTCAAGGACGGGTAAGCTTTCAACCTCTAACTAATCTCCGGGTGAACGCGCTTTTGCACCATTAATTTCGTGGCAGTGGTGGTAATACCGCTCTGTGTTAATGTACCACAATTCGAAAACGTTCTCGCTGCTCAAGTTGCTCGGTTTGTACAGCAGCCTGATAAGGTTATTGTAAATGCTTATACAGATGTTGACAATAAAAGTAAGACTTTCATTGTTTACCGTACCTCCGCCGTACGTGTTGCTTATTTCTCTTGTTGCGATACGTGTAATCATGATGTACATTTATTGTGTGTGTAATTTAAACACGTTGCTGGTTTTAGGGTGATATGTCGCTCTTCTGCTGTGCCCGATCTACAGCGGGAGCGTTTCAACCAGGTAAAATCGGCTGCGCTGACACTGAGTGACGGGCGAGTCAGCTGTTCAAATTAGAGTGATACGTCACATTTGGCCCACTTTTAGAATTGTTATGCTATTTGAAATAATGAACCGCTGAAAAAAGATTGCAGATTAGCGTCGGCGGGGGGAGGGGGGGGGGGGAGGGAGGGATGTTTTTCACCTTCGCCCAGGAATGAACTCTTCGTTAGTTAGCCAGCACTCATGCCTCCGGCAACTTGACATGCTGGTAATAAAATAAAAAGACGCTATTACTAAATATTCTAGTTTCGGTGCTGCAGTGTAAAAACATCATTCTTCTTGTTTCTTTCATAATTTCAGTCTTAGTATAGTATGTACTAGTCTGTAGATGCAAGATGGCAGGAAATAAACAAAAGATGGCGGAAAATAAACGAAGAGCAATCATTAGTTCACTAACTCAGTCAAATGATTGCTCGAAAAAAACCAAGACAATTGGTGCATTGAAAATCTACTAAAATACAGACAAAAATCAGCTATCATTAAGACGAATTAGACAAGGCAGTACCAATTTTATTATTTTTTTAGATCAGAAGTGTCATGTTATAAAACCAAAAAACACAGAAGTTGAGAGGAAGACAAGCTTAAAGAGATGAAACATTTGTGAACACGGGTTGTCGCTAGGGCCATCGTCTCAACATGCAGACTTCTTCAAGGCTGCAACTGCCGACCTATCTGAATTGTGTAGGGCAGATTTATCAAAATGAAGGGAATGTGGGATACACTGGTGCTAACAATCAGCAAATGACCACAAAACATTTCATATATGTTGTACCAACAAGGCCAAAATTCATCCCTTGCCTATCTTAGTGCATTTTGTATATTCTCATACCCTCTCCTCCAACTTAAACAGAGCAGGGAAGGCCACATGCGAAAACGGGGAGATGAAAATGAGAAATCGGCATGCTGAATTGGGTGAGTTGAAAGCCAATCCCCCTAATGGGTTGCACCAGGGTAAAAGGGGCAATCAATCAAAAGCCCATGAAACAGAAAGAAATGAGGGGCAGGAGGGAGCTAGTGTTTTGCATGGATGGGTAGAAAAGGAGCAGACATTTTGCTGAATTATCTTTGCCTCGAGGAAGCACCACCTGACAATGGGGATAATTAGCCTTAAAAATTCCTTGAAGTTATTTTTTTATAGGTTTTCGTTGTGTATGTGCCATGTCAAATTGGTTCAAGTGCCGCCTTTGACACATTTATACTTGTTGGCTGGAATGTATTAAACTTGTGAATAAGGTGCGGCAATTTTTCTTTTTCGAAAAGTTGGTTACTGGATTTAAGGTTTAAGATTGTTGAAGATATGTCCTACCACTATAAATTGTTGCACCATTGCTTCCAGTCATTTGCCATGCTTGCTTGATGCCTATTTAATGAAACGTTAACAGGTTGTCCTGTTTGTTCAGTAGGGTTGAGAGCTAGACTAGTTGGTGAAATATCATTTTAACATGTGGCATAGTCGTGCAACTTCGGCGGGGACACAGAGGACAAGAAAAGCGAGTGTCGTGTTTTCTTGTACTCCATGTCCCTGTCGAAGTTGTGCTACTACACCATGTTAAAATGTTGTCCTGTTTGTGACAATATGTATATTTAATCATGTGGATAATGTTTGAACTAGTGCAGGTAAAACTAGATTTCATACTATGCATAAATCACTTTTAGTGCTTTTGATTCTAACATAATCTTGAAGGTGTTTGCAGGTTTTAAATCTTAGCTGACAACTAGGTATTATGTGTACAAAAAAAAAAAAATGCGGGTTTACTTTTGCATGCACTGACATGTCGGGGAACATTTTCCGAAGCGGCTCGTTGCTAGTTAATGCTGGGTAATACTTGCAAAATATATTATTTAAGTTTGGAAATGCATTTTGGTATTTGATTGCAAAGGCTAGCGGCTGGTTAAGCTGTGCTATGGGACATGTTCAGCTAGTGGTGATTTCCTCATTTTCAAGCTTCAGTTTGGATTTTGTTCAGAGTGTAGTTCAGGTCATTTCGCCAAATGTCTCCTTTGGCTTGTTTAATTGGTGAGCATAGTGATCATTGTCGCTACAGACGCTTCTTGAAGGCTCTGCCTGTCTGATGAATATTTCTTCTTTGCCGTGTCATAGATGATGGCTTGTGTAGTCTATGTATTATAGTTGGCTATTCCTTTGCATTATGTAGAGCGTAACCTTTGATTTCTCTGTAAAAGAAAGAACTCCAAGACAACCCCATTAAGATGCACATCACAAGAATTCACCACTGAAGATTAAATTGGACCAAACATGTCAGCAGCAAAAACAACATTGTAAACCAAACCAAGGTATTTTTTTTCTTTTTTTTTTTTTGTCCTGTTCAACTGGGGGTAGAGTCCGCTTCTCTTGCACATCCTTCCTCCCCAAAATTTCACTTGGCTCTGCCCTGTTCATTTTTCTTTTCTGATTGGCATTGCCTGCTATATGTTTATGGTGTGGGCAAAGGATTTGTATATTTTCATACTTCACATTAAAGAATGTTTCAGTAGATACCGTCATATCTAGGAAGTTAATTTTGCTGAAAGGGTGATGCATGGTAAATTTACTACTAGGGTGAAACTTCTTACAATTGCCAATTAATGCAATTGTCATGAATGCATGTCAGAAAGGAGGCTAGCAGCAGAGATATTGAATATATTCCTCAATATGATTCTATTTTCAATAATATCGGTGTTACCTCAAGACATCTTATCCACTAAAAGATCAAAAAACAACATTTAAACCAAGAAAAATGCATGTGTTTGTCTCTGTTTATGATAGAGTTGTAAAGAACAAGTGGAATAAATGTCATGTTTTGCCACTATTGAACCCATGTGGTTGAAACTGTGGAAGGAAACTCTGGAGGGATTTATAGGCACTTGTTGCTGTAGTCTCGAGCAGTTTGGTTCCCTTCACTGCAGCAATGTGGCAAGGGTGAAATCACATTGTACAAACTCCGTACTCGCAACACCAGTTTGCTGTGTAGCTTTGCACTTTATTCACAAGCTTCTTGTGTGTTTTTTACAAAAGCATTACAAGGATACTGAAGAGAAGCAGTGACCTTGTTTAGATCGACAAACTGCACTCCGAGTACTCTAATGCCAATGCCATATGTTTCACTATCCCAAGTTCGTTATTAGTGGAGAAAATTAAAGTTGAAGTTTCACTATTGAAAGTTGTGCCGAAATGTCCATGCGTGACGTCAAGAGTTTTTAAATGTATTATTCACAATTTTGCGATTGGCTCTGTGATATTTTTTGAAACTTCATATGCTAGGTCTTTGACACCCACAGATGACAATGTCATTCATATTTATCGATTATAAGCTATGTAGAACCCAGTAAATGCCATCAAAATAATGATGTCATGGTGTTTGATGAGACATTTTCTTTGCGCGGTTTCGCACTTGCCAAGCGTCGTGTCGTGGTAAGAGTGGTGATGTGAAATCATACTTTAACAGTATGCGAAAAATTATTTCGCTCTTTAGTGTCCTTTCAACACCCAAACATAAAAACTTATAAGAATGATGTAGAGTAGCTTACCAGCTCATTCACCTGGCCCAGTGAGAAATGCAAGTCAGTGTAGTTGTATTGTTAGGTGTATTACATCTCAATACATATAATCCTAGGAGGACGGAGGATAAAAAGCGTGACACAGAGGACAATTTATTGCAACAGACACACATTACATGTACATTTAAAATAGCCTGTGCACTGCTTTTCTCAAACAAGTAAAAAAATATTGCCGCGAACCATGCATTGGGTTTGTTTATTTGTGTTTTGTTTTTTCGGCCTGGCTGCGCCGGCCTGTGCTATCGCCGTTTTCACAGCGTTTCGAACAAACGCTATCGAACAACGCTTCAGGCGTTGTTCGATAGAAACAACGCTTCAAGCGTTGTTTGTTAGAAACGCTGTTCGAACGTACAGCGTTTCTAACAAACGCTATCACGGCGTTCCCGATACAATTCGACTATTCGAGAAACCCTCGCGCCGAGGGATATAGATTCCCGCACAGCCGATGCCGCGTCATTCGATCGCCGACGCTCACTAGCGTGCCTGTCGTTTTGCTGGCCGCTGCTTCGCCGCCTGTGTATTTTTTCAGTTGTTAGGGGAGCACAGGTTCGCTCCAATAAACTTGTTTTCCTCATAGACAACTGCGTCGTCCTTTGCTGCGTGACATCTGGTGCAGGTGCAGGGTACATGAACCCTAAGCCATTGCCAAGCCGACAAGCACACCCAACTCGTGTCAGCCGCCGACAGCAAGGCCTTCAGCCAGAGTTTGGACTGCTCCCGGATAAAAAAAGGAAAGAAGACATACAAACCACGATGATCAACGCAGGCACCATGACCAGCGCTACCGACCCTCCCGTCGTTCTGCAACAACCTCGTGAGCCCCCATCATTCCGAGGATCTCCTGGTGAAGACCCGGAAGAGTGGCTGGAGAAGCTGGAGCGCATCCGCATCTTTAACAGGTGGGATGACGAAGAAACGTTTCGTCATGTCTTCTTCTATTTGGAGGATGCAGCTCGAACGTGGTTTGAGAACCATGAAGGCTCCCTAACCGACTGGACTGTCTTTAAGAGCGAATTCCTCAAAACATTCGCTACGGCTGTGCGGAAAGAACGAGCCGCCCTTTTGTTGGAGACGCGAATGCAACACCCTAACGAAGGTGTTGTACTGTTCGCTGAGGAGATGAAGATGCTGTTCCGGAGAGCTGACCCCGAAATGGCAGAAGAGAAGAAGGTGCGCTTTCTGATGCAGGGAGTTAAACAAGAGCTCTTCGCTGGACTCATCCGCAACCCCCCTAAGACCGTCGCTGAGTTCGTCACCGAGGCTTCGATGATCGAGAGGACCTTGGATATGCGTTCGCAGCAATACGATAGACCACTCAACACCCTTTCGGTGAACCCAGTAAACGCCCCTGGATTGGCGACGGAAGACTTGCGGGAGACCATCCGCGCCGTCGTTCGCGAGGAACTGAGGAAATTGTTCCCAGCAACGCCGCAGCCCCAAGTCGCCTCCCTCACTGACGTCGTCCGCGAGGAGGTTCGGCAAGCACTGGGGAATTCCACGCCGTCGGAAGCATCTTGCGAACCACAAGCGATGACCTACTCCGCTGCTGCTCGTCGACCCCGACCCGTCCCAACCTGTTATCAAGAGGCCCCGCCGTACCGCCGCCCAATGTCGCCCGCCCGACCCCCTGTAACCCGAAACCAGGCGCCCAGGAAGACCGAGGTGTGGCGAATGCCAGATAATCGTCCGCTGTGCTACCACTGCGGAGAGGCCGACCACGTCTACCGCCGCTGCCCGTACAAGAGGCTGGGTTTGCGTGGGTTCTCCGTCGACGCACCCCGCCCGCGAGCCGGCCAGCGCCCATTTGAGATCGAAGAATACCTGCGAACACCAGCCAAGGACCATCCCGCCCGTGGAAGGTCCCCCAGCCCACGAGGGGGAAACTAAAAGCAGCAACTTCTGGAGGTGAAGTTGCACAATGGCGAGAAAATGAAAACCCTCTAACGACGCAATACCGTGACTCACGACATGCCCTCATCCCGACGACCTGACGACACCCTGACGAGACCCCCGAAAACGACGACAGCTACGCTGCGCGACGCGTACCCGAAATGACGAAGCCTGCCGCTGAGAAGACGACGATGACGACGCATAGTGCCCGACCATCAACACGTGCAAGCCGCGATACGACCCCTCGACGCACCCACAATTCGAGGAAAGCGGCATCCGACGTCCAGTTGTCTATCGACGGCCTTGACATAGTCGCCCTCATCGACACGGGAGCCGACTACTCGGTCATGAGCGGGTCATTCGCGTCCAAGCTAAAGAAAGCTACGACCAGATGGGACGGTCCGCACATACGCACAGCAGGAGGCCACCTCGTGACCCCAAGTGGAATGTGCACATCGCGCGTCACCATAGACGGCACTACGTACCCTTCGAAGTTCGTCATTTTGCCTAACTGCTCCCGCGACATAATTCTCGGAATGGACTTTTTGATGGACAATGGCGCAATAATTGATCTGCAGACCCGGTCGATAACGTTTTCTTCCGATCACTCCACGACGCCGCAGCTGAACCTCGGACACCGTGCTGCTGTAAGGATCGCCGACGATCTCGTCACCCTGCCACCCCGCGCCAGCTTGATGATCGCCGTCTATTGTGAAAGTGCTGCTCCTGATGTCGACGCTATCGTGGAGACTGACCAAAGGTTGCTTCTAGACCGCGGTGTGTCTGTCGCAAAAGGCATTGCGCGGTTTAAGCAACGCAGATCCCACGTTTTGGTCACCAATTTCACCGAAGGGTACCAGCATCTAAACAAGGGCGCTGCAATTGCGTTCCTCGAACAAACGCAAGAAGCGAGTCAAGTGATCGCGGTCGCCACTTTTGAACGCGCACGCGCAGATGCTTCCAGGCTGCCACATCCTTTCGACAGGAACCCGGCGCTGTCGCAAGAAAATCGGGACAGATTATTGGAGTTGCTCCGTGGCTACAGCGAGTGTTTTTCCTCGAACTCGAAGTTACGTCAGACACCTTTGGCGAAGCACCGGATAATAACCGAAGATGGAGCCCGACCTACCAGACAGTCACCGTACCGCATTTCTTCACACGAGCGCGAAGCCATCCGGACTCAAGTTGATGACATGCTCAGCGACGACATAATACAGCCATCAAAAAGTCCGTGGGCTGCGCCGGTTGTACTCGTGAAGAAAAAAGGTGGCACTTTAAGATTCTGCGGTGACTACCGGAGACTGAACAGAATCACCAAAAAGGACGTGTACCCCCTGCCACGAATCGACGACGCCCTCGACCATCTCTGCCACGCCAAGTACTTCTCATCCATGGATCTGAAGACCGGCTAATGGCAAATTGAAGTGGATGAGAGAGACCGAGAGAAGACTGCATTTATAACCCCGGACGGTCTATACGAGTTCAAGGTGATGCCGTTTGGGCTGTGCACGGCGCCCGCAAGGTTTCAGAGAGTCATGGACACTGTGCTAGCAGGCCTGAAGTGGCACACTTGCCTCGTATACCTCGACGACGTTGTCGTATTCGCCGGGACTTTCGACGAACACCTCACAAGGTTGGAATCTGTACTCGAGGCCATTCGTACGTCAGGGTTAACGCTGAAGCCTGAGAAGTGCCGTTTCGCGTACGAGGAACTCAAGTTCCTGGGTCACGTCGTGAACGCCGCGAGAGTCCTACCTGACCCGGCAAAAACATCAGCCATTGCGAACTTCCCAAGGCCGAAAGATAAGAAGGGTGTGCGAAGGTTTCTCGGACTGTGCGCACACTACCGGCGCTTCGTCGAAAACTTCGCACGCATTGCAGAGCCACTCACGCGCCTGACGAAAGAAAGCACCCCTTTCAGCTGGGAAATCGACCAAGAAAAGGCATTTTGCGAGCTGCAACAACGCCTGCAAAACCCGCCCGTGCTCGCTCATTTCGACGAAAACGCCGAAACGGAAATGCACATGGACGCCAGTGATATCGGTTTGGGTGCCGTCCTCGTCCAAAAGCAAAGCGGTTACGAAAAGGTAATCACCTATGCAAGCCGTGGTCTGTCGAAGGAGGGAGAAACTACTCTGCCTCCGAGAAAGAGTGCCTGGCTATCATATGGGCCATTTCAAAATTTCGCCCATACGTCTATGGTAGACCGTTTAAGGTTGTGACAGACCATCATGCGCTGTGTTGGCTCGCCAATTTGAAGGACCCCTCTGGCCGTCTTGGGCAGTGGAGCTTGTGCCTGCAAGAGTTTGACGTTACAATATTCTACAAATCCGGCAGGAAACACTCCGACGCCGACTGCCTGTCCCGCGCCCCCGTCAACCCACCACCACAGGACTCCGATGAAGACAGCGCGTTCTTCGGAGTCGTGACAGAGAGCGACCTAGCCGCCAAGCAGCGTGCCAACCCTAACCTCCGCGCCATGATCGACTACCTCGAAGGACGCAAATGTCGCCGTGCCTAGGGCGTTCAAGCGCAACTTACCAGCATTCAGCCTCAAAAACTCTATCCTAGTGAAGAAGAATTTCAACCCCGGAACGAGAACGAATTATCTACTTGTCATCCCCGCAGACCTTCGTGACGAAATTTTGGAAGCGTGCCACGACAACCCGTCTTCCGCACATCTCGGAACAACTTCTGGCCCCGCCTTACATCCAATGTCACCCACTACGTCCGGAGCTGCCGTGACAGCCAGCGACGAAAAACACCACCGTCGAGACCAGCCGGACTTCTGCAGCCGATCGCCGTCCCAACGAGGCCCTTCCAACAGATCGGAATGGACCTGCTGGGCCCGTTCCCTACATCCCGATCCGCGAACAAATGGATTGTCGTAGCGACAGACTACATGACGCGCTACGCAGAGACCACCGCTCTTCCTAGGGGAACTGCACAAGAAGTTGCAAAGTTCTTTATTAACCAAATTGTGCTGCGACATGAAGCCCCTGAGGTCCTAATCACGGACCGCGGAACGACCTTCACTGCAGAGCTCATGCAAGGAATCTTACGCTACAGCAACACAGATCACCGAAGAACGACGGCGTACTACCCCCAAACGAATGGACTAACGGAACGGCTCAATAAGACAATCGCGGATATGCTGTCTATGTACGTCGACGTTGAACATAAGACGTGGGACAAAGTCCTCCCGTACGTCACGTTTGCGTACAACACGGCTATTCAAGAAACCACGCAGATGACACCGTTCGAGCTCGTCTACGGAAGACGGCCGACTGTGATGCTCGACGCCATGCTTCCGCACGTAGAAGACGACGACCTCAACGCCGACGTCCAAGGATACCTCCAACGTGCGGAGGAGGCCCGCCAGCTCGCTCGAGCTCGTATAACAGACCAGCAACTGGTGGATGCCGGACGCTACAATCTCTGACGCCGAGACGCCGAGTACCATCCTGGAGATCGTGTGTGGGTTTGGACTCTCATTCGACGACGTGGACTCAGTGAGAAACTTCTACGACGCTATTTCGGACCCTACCAGATTCTACGACGTGTTGGGGAACTAACGTACGAAGTGATCCCCGATGGGGACTCCCGTACATCACGACGACGCATGCGGCCCGAAGTCGTCCATGTGGTTCGCTTAAAACCTTTCTACGGACGATGACGAACTTTTAATTTGTGTGGACTGTCCCTTATGTTAGCATCGGGTCGATGCACTCTTAGAGGGGGGGTAATGCCGCGAACCATGCATTGGGTTTGTTTATTTGTGTTTTGTTTTTTCGGCCTGGCTGCGCCGGCCTGTGCTATCGCCATTTTCACAGCGTTTCGAACAAACGCTACGACAGCGTTTCGAACAAACGCTATCGAACAACGCTTCAGGCGTTGTTCGATAGAAAGAACGCTTCAAGCGTTGTTTGTTAGAAAAGCTGTTCGACTGAACAGCGTTTCTAACAAACGCTATCACGGCGTTCCCGATACAATTCGACTATTCGAGAAACCCTCGCGCCGAGGGATATAAATTCCCGCACAGCCGATGCCGCGTCATTCGATCGCCGACGCTCACTAGCGTGCCCGTCGTTTTGCTGGCCGCTGCTTCGCCACCTGTGTATTTTTTCAGTTGTTAGGGGAGCACAGGTTCGCTCCAATAAACTTGTTTTCCTCATAGACAACTGCGTCGTCCTTTGCTGCGTGACAATATGCAGTCTCACAAGTCTAGAGCATTGTGGTATCTTGTGAGGCAACGTTCATATGCCCGAGCAGAGCACTATGAAAATGTCTTTAAACAATTTAACTGTTGTGCGTTAAAAAAAAAAGAAAGGTTTGCAGTCAAGATAACTGGGTCATTAGCCACTCATTGCAATAAAAGAAATGACATGTCCAGTTTTTGTGGCGGTACTCCCTTACCATTATTTACTAACTGAATTGTAACAACCAAAACAACCGCTAAACAAACCACATTGCCTTTTGAAGGCATCTATTGCCAAACAAAGGAATGAATTATGGCAGTTGGATAGGTGCTGATAAAAACAGAATCATGCACATTTTCTTCAGCTGTAGGTTGATGGTACTGTAGCCAGTCCCCACTGAGCGCAGTCCATGTGTTCACGTTTTCTCTTTCATAAAGGACAACAGTGTACAATAATACCTCGTTAAACCGTACCTGCATAAACAGTAGTTTCGATAAGAAGTAGTGAAGTCAAAGCCCCGACTCGGCGGCCATTGAACATAATGCATTTTGTATCCGCATAAGCCGTACCAGCTTATCGTGTATGTATTGGTTAATAAGGGGTTCTTCCAATTTTCGTTGCGCACTCGCTGCAGCATGTCGTCCCTCACTGGGCGTCCCGACAGAACAGCAAGCCCCAGAGATCGAAACACGCCTCGCTTGTTTGTGTTGATGATGATGGCGGCTGTGTTGGTGAGCGCCATCTCTTGGATTTTTCTGCAACAAGAAGCACTCGGTCGGCTAAGCATCTGGTGTTGTCCACACGATGGTGCTTCGCACAAACATGCGGTGGAGTGTACATCAAAGGACATTGAGGAATTTGGAGGAGAGTGCGAGATAATTATTCTAGGAGATATGAATGCGCACATAGAAGATATAGATGGGTATACTGACTCAACAGGCAAAATGATCATGGATATGTGTGAAAGGCATGATTTGATCATTTGCAACAACACCGAGAAGTGTGAAGGCCAAATAACATGGGAGGTAGAAAGGCTGCAGTCAACGATAGATTACGCACTGATGTCACATAGAATGTATGATAAGCTCAGGGGAATGCACATAGATGAAGGTGGCTCCAGAATTCTGGGTAGTGATCACAAACGTATCAAGCTAAGTTTTAGAAGAGCAGCGAAACTGGGAAGGAGACAAGATGAGCAACTACAACAAAAATTTTATTCAGAAAATCAAACAGAAATAGCTACTAAACCAATTGAGAAAGTAATCACTGAGGATAATAAAACAGTGTGAACATACACGAATCTAATTGGACTGAGCTAGAGCTTGCTAAAGCATGTGACAAGTCACCCCGGAAAAGAAGACACAAACCCAAGAGTTGGTGGGATGAAGAAGTTAAGAAAGCCATAGCTAAACGTCTGGAAGCCTCTAGGGAACACAGACATGCTAAGCCGCGGGGTGAACCGACAGATGATGTTGAAAGAAAATGGTACATCTTTCTAAGCGTCAGAAAGGAAGCATTCCATCTGATCACTGAAAAGATTGGAAGAAAGAGGACTCAGTGGCTGGCAGAAGTACATAAAAAGGATAGAAAGGCAGCTGCAAAATTTTGGAACAATTTAAACTCCCTAAAAAATGAGACAAGCCTAGAACAGAGGTTTGTACCTGCAGCTCAAGGTGCTAGGCTAGAAAGGGTAACTTGAAGCTTTAAATGCTCGCTCACACGACGTTGTCCACGAGTTTTAAGTTTATGGATGAAGCACTTGCGATTTATGGTTGCAGGTATCAAACATGACGAGTAGGACGCCTGGGTGCCCTTTGAATTCCAAGTTTTCTGGTGTTGTCTTACAAGGTAAAACTGACGGCGTGCATGCACATTTTTTTGGCGGGTGAATATTGAACTTGATGCATGTTTATTGAGGAACTCGCAAACGTAGGGAATGATACCATGCCATGATTATCCGTATTACAGGTTTCCGAAATACAGTGTGCTGCGTTCTGCCAGGGAACGTGCTGTTCGAAGAAGTAGTTGGAGGGCTACGGACGGTGACCACCTCTGTTCCATTCAGTTTGAAGAACGCTGCTTCGACACAACTGGGCAGAATATCACACTGCTGTCTGGCAGTGCACCTTCGATTTTTCCTGCTTTCCGAGCGCATCTGCAAAAACCTGTTAGTTTCTACTTCCTTGACGTAGCTTCAATAGAATGTAGTGACGAAAATAAGCAATTGCATCTAAAAGAAAATAAGACACCTTTGAAATTCATTCTATCTTGCCGACGAAACCAAAACCAAAACACCGATAGACCAAGTTGTCGAAATGAGTGAGTGGAGTTATATCAAACATCGTGATACCTCGTTTCTAGGCTTTGAATGCTGCGCTTGCCATGACAACACACGTCGCCAACTGAAGTTGACGAATATTATTTAGAACTAACGCCACTGCGATCGTTCTTATGATCGGTTTATTTGGGGTACGTCTCCTGGAGTTGGTCGGTTGCACGCGACAACGATCGGTGCTTTGGTTTGGTTCCGCCTGTAACTTGGTTAGAATTCGATAACTCTAGAAAAATTACTGGTGACTCTCAGTTTATCTAATTACCTCTCTTTTCCAGCTTTAGCTTTAATTATTTGAACTTCCTTATATATTCTCTAAAAATCAGCTGACACACACAAGCGCATACATAAAAGAGGCGAGCAAATGTCGCGTTCCCCTTGATCTTGAGTATCTGCAGGCACATTTCTTAAAACACCCAATATATACTAAAACCTTTTTGTACCGCAATAGTGCGCCAGCAAGCTCGATATGCGAAGCATTCCTTGACCATACACATTAATCTGAAAGCGTGCAGCTGACAATGGGTGCATGAAATAATTTGTTTCATAAACAGGAATAGCCATTTATTCGTTGGTGTAACTTAAAAATGGTTTTTATCTCATTTTTTTATCGTGGAACTGCAAATCAAGGCGCACAACGTGCGTATTCCATTGCAGTCTAAGGCGGTTTCGCCCTGTTTTTCCTCTAGCAATTTGGCTGCTGGCGGCTTAATTCATTTTCTCTCGTTGGCGGCGGCCGGGACTGCCACTCCAGACGTTCTATAAGACCACCTTGCTTCACAACGAGTGACATCATTTATGTGAATGGTGCTGTACCTGTTGTGCCCTAACGCTCTCGAGTCTTGAACAAATATTCTGGTGAGCGCTAACCTTTAAATGGCACAAAAACGAGTCAACGCATGCACGCACCGCACATTAAAGCGCTTTGGCGGCTGCAGCGATGAGGGTTAGTTGTAGCGCCATATCGTGCTGCGGCACTTTTGAGAACTAAAAAAGTTAAACAAGCAAACCTGGCGACATGTGGAGTGGTGGCATGAGCCGGTCATAAGTTTATAAAGCAGGTTGTGGCCCGGACTAAGGAGCCCACTCCTTCCTCGGTCGCAAATAAATGTTTTATTCTCTCTCTCACCATCGCCGCTCGCAAGACTAGCAAGGATGTGCTCGGGCGCCCAATCTGTGTGTGCGTTTATTTACATTTAAACGGGTGGGAAACATTAAATACATACCTGCAACATATCTCAGCCACTGGCGCTTCTTCTGTGCTTGCTACAAAACATGCGAATGGGGCATGCTCACGGATGAAGTAAAAAACTTGGGAGAGGCTCTGCCCAGCCAACCATGTAATGTCCAGTAGACATCAAATAAATATCGACCATATGATATTCTTATCTTCAATGGATGTCCACAAAAGTTAATTTAATATTTATACAATATCTAGAGGATGTCTATTTTGAACAGAGTGGACCTTCATATAATGTCCACACCAGTTCCACACACAATATTGATATAATATTTGGCAATATTAATACAATATTTAAAGAATGTCCATTTTGACGAGCGTCAACATCCAGAGATTGTCCACAGCAGTTCTACAATAACATTGATATATATCAAATGACACTTATCTTTAGGTGCAGCGACGCACATATGCATACTATCTGAGGTTTTATGTCCCAAAACCACAATACGAATGAGAAACAATGCAGTGGAGGGCTCTGGAAATGTTGACCATGTGGTGTTCAACGTGCACTGACACTGCACACTACACGTACCTCTACAATTACGCCTCCATCAAAATGTGACCACCGCAGCCGGCATTGAACCCGTGACTTTTGGGTCAGCATTTTAGCACCTTAGCCACTGTTCCACTGGGGCGGACAGACGCGCATGCAATTGCACCATATGCTACAAAATAATGAGACTGTTAACTCTATATGATTGCCTTTAGTCAAATTTATTGCATCAAATTCAGCAAAGGTCTTGGGGGATCTGTCATAGTGATGGCAGTGGTCAGTCAGTCAGGGCACTGGTAGCCTGCAAATATAAACACCACAGTTGACACAGCCAACTTTTAACTTGATGCTCAATGAGCAGTGTATGAAGCACGTTTGCAGGGTGTAATCTGGACTTTGAAGAATTGCCTCAACAGCATTACAAATGCAATGACAGTAGTTCCAATAATGAGTGTCACCACATATGGGGTATTTAGTCTAAACATTCTATACATGTTGTTTAGAAACCAATGAATTGCACCAGCAGAGCATATTGATGAAGAAATTAGGTTCTAGGGTTGTAAATAGTTACCAGACGTACATATATAAATGTATATTCTAAAAGGTGAAAAGCACGCACATTGTTTGATATGTAATTTATGTGTGCATGAATACAGCCTCGTTTGATTACATTATATGTTCACAATGCAAGATTATGCACGAATTAGTAGTCTCTTTTACCATAGTGTTTAATCTATTATTACAGGGTAGCCAGCCGGTCTGAGAACTGGCTAACCTCCCTGTCCTTTTCTTCCTATTAGGGTGCAAATTGAACATCAAGGCCATTTAAGTACTTAACAATAAGTTATAGAGTAAACTTTCGTAATTAATCCAGACACTGCACGCAGGACAGAGACAAAAGAGTCCACAAACACAGTGATGTGCCTCTCTTGTCCGTGTCCTTCATGCTGTTTGAGGATTAATTAAAAATAACCAAGCCCAAGCTAGCCTTGCACATTTTCAGTACTACCAAGAGCGCTTCTGACCCCTTTTGACGTCCAAAACACTTGATGCAGCCGCAGTGACAAACAAAGAAAACGCAAGGAATGCGCATCATTGGGACTACGGGCATGATTAGATGTGGCCTATATGCTCAGCTGCAGCCCTGAGCGCGACGCTCTGCCGTTTCGACATGCGTACTACAAACAATGTACGCGAGTAAACATAATATTGGAGAGATTAAAGTGAAAAAAAAAATGACACATCACCGCTCAAAAGTGGTCACAAACACACGTGTTTATGCACCGTCAATATAGTCAAAATTTAACTTACAGAAAAGGCCTTTCACTTTCATGTCTTAAAGACCTGAAGTGCTAAAAGGTATCAACGGTCTAAGGAAACAACGAAAGAAAGTGTTAACTTCCAACTCAAAACTTGCAATGCCAAGCGTGGTGTTGTAAAAGGTGAAAAAGTTCTTGCTGCCGAGTTTTGCTTGTCGCGAAGGACAAGGTCGACGATGAAATAAATGCTTTCGCACAGTTCACGCGTGACTGACCGAACGCACATGCATGAAACCCCAGTGCGTCGGCGAAGTGTTCATACGGTGGATGGAAACAACTTTATTGCAATGTTCTTACGAAGCCTGTGATTTACGAAGGCCAGAGCTACTGCATTGCCGTCTGTTATGTCTAGCGCAAACACGTACGGCCGTTCTCATCCGTTGCTACGTGAATGCTCCCGTGCTGTCACAGGCCGCACGTGTTATTGAGCAAGGCAGACAAGCTGTTTTGTAGTTAGATGGGCTAACGACGTCGGCACTTGCCTTTGGGCATTGTTTATCAAGTGCTGATCGCCTAGAACATTGCGGTGACACGTCAGTATTTTTTTAAAAAGCGGCCTGCCGGTTATCTCGTCAGGTGATGGTACACTGAGCGACATAAAAAAAGTTGCCCGAGACTACTTTGCAGTGCACCTTTCTGTCATCAAAAACTTTGATAAACCATGGAAATCAACATTTCTGACACCTGTGCCGAAGAAACCAATGCAGCCAGCTGCATTCGAGTTTTTTGTGTCTTCTTGCGTCTCGCCGATTAAGAGCACTAATTCGCAAAACACTTTATCATAACAAATATAGTCAATCCTGCAAGAGTCATCGAAGATCCAATATTAAAGGGCCTGTGGACAGGACGGCCACCAGCAGCAAATCACGTCACCCTGCCACCCCGCGCAAGCTTGATGATCGCCGTCTATTGTGAAGGTGCTGCTCCTGACGTCGACGCTATCGTGGAGACTGACCAAAGGTTGCTTCTAGATCGCGGTGTGTCTGTCGCAAGAGGCATTGCGCGGTTTAAGCAACGCAGATCCCACGTTTTGGTCACCAATTTCACCGAGGGGTACCAGCATCTAAACAAGGGCGCTGCAATTGCGTTCCTCGAACAAACGCAAGAAGCGAGTCAAGTGATCGCGGTCGCCCCCTTTAACGCGCATGCGCAGATGCTTCCAGGCTGCCACATCTTTTCGACGTGAACCCGGCGCTGTCGCAAGAAAATCGGCACAGATTACTGGAGTTGCTCCGTCGCTACAGCGAGTGTTTTTCCTCGAACTCGAAGTTACGTCAGACACCTTTGGCGAAGCACCGGATAATAACCGAAGATGGAGCCCGACCTACCAGACAGTCACCGTACCGCGTTTCTTCACACGAGCGCGAAGCCATCCGAACTCAAGTTGATGACATGCTCAGCGACGACATAATACAGCCATCAAAAAGTCCGTGGGCTGCGCCGGTTGTACTCGTGAAGAAAAAAGATGGCACTTTAAGATTCTGCGTTGACTACCGGAGACTAAACAAAATCACCAAAAAGGACGTGTACCCCCTGCCACGAATCGACGACGCCCTCGACCACCTCAGCCACGCCAAGTACTTCTCATCCATGGATCTGAAGACCGGCTACTGGCAAATTGAAGTGGACGAGAGAGACCGAGAGAAGACTGCATTTATAACCCCGGACGGTCTATACGAGTTCAAGGTGATGCCGTTTGGGCTGTGCACGGCGCCCGCAAGGTTTCAGAGAGTCATGGACACTGTGCTAGCAGGCCTGAAGTGGCACACTTGCCTCGTATACCTCGACGACGTTGTCGTATTCGCCCGGACTTTCGAAGAACACCTCACAAGGTTGGAATCTGTACTCGAGGCCATTCGTACGTCAGGGTTAACGCTGAAGCCTGAGAAGTGCCGTTTCGCGTACGAGGAACTCAAGTTCCTGGGTCACGTCGTGAACGCCGCGGGAGTCCTACCTGACCCGGCAAAAACATCAGCCATTGCGAACTTCCCAAGGCCGAAAGATAAGAAGGGTGTGCGAAGGTTTCTCGGACTGTGCGCATACTACCGGCGCTTCGTCGAAAACTTCGCACGCATTGCAGAGCCACTCACGCGCCTGACGAAAGAAAGCACCCCTTTCAGCTGGGAAAACAACCAAGAAAAGGCATTTTGCGAGCTGCAACAACGCCTGCAAAACCCGCTCGTGCTCGCTCATTTCGACGAAAACGCCGAAACGGAAATGCACACGGACGCCAGTGATATCGGTTTGGGTGCCGTCCTCGTCCAAAAGCAAAGCGGTTACGAAAAGGTAATCACCTATGCAAGCCGTGGTCTGTCGAAGGAGGAGAGAAACTACTCTCTGCCTCTGAGAAAGAGTGCCTGGCTATCATATGTGCATAAAATACAAAAAAAGAAAAGCAGAGGAAGAAACGTTGGCAACCGACCTGCAGCCGTCGGTAAATCGACGCTTATGTAAGGTTGGGCCATAGTCAACCAGCGTGCGGCACGCACTCGGACTCGTCGGCCAACGCGGTTGCGCCTACGTTGTGTTGTGACATTGGCCGACGTGAGACCAATGTCAATCCCCAAGACCGGTCCTACGTTGGTTTCCGAGGTCGGGCCAACCACTTCGCAGTCAGTAACAGACCTCTTGCCGACCACTAGCTAAGGACAAATTGTTGCTTGGGTTCGTGCGCGAACAACGCGGGATGCGCTTCCCGCTCTAGCTGCTAACTTGCCATAGCTACATTTGCTGACTAGAAAGTTCATGTTTCCGTGAAGCGTTGGTGGCTACGATAATGCACTTTTCTCTAGACGTTGTGTCGTCCCGCCGAAAGTTATCCGCTGCGGCCAACAGATATATGGGCACGTGGCTTCCTTACTTTAACTCATCGATCGTGTCTCACAAGTGCTCTGACCTAATGAGAAAGTATCCGACACCGCAGTGTAGGGTTAGGGTCGCTTGGACTGATTGATGACACAAACTACCGGTGAGCAATGTGGCCTCTATTTCTCGCTGACATTAGCCCAACTGAGAAACTTTGAGGCGATTGGGGCATTTTGGCATAGGGTGGTGCAATTTCAAAAAATTTCAAGGTTTTGATGCAGCTCGGCGCAGAAATGGGGATTTGCTTCAAATCGGTGCAATCGCCGCAGCTGTTGCACCCCTGCAAGTTTCAATATTGTAGTTTTTCTGTACTTCATTCAGAAACAGGCGTCATGCATTTATTATTGTAACAAGAGCACTCAGGGATATAATACTGTATTTACTTGCGAAATGAATGCACTTGTTTTCTAGAAAAATCTTAGCAAAGTTGGGGGGTGCATTTATTATGCGGGGTAAATTTTATGAAAAGTTTTTTGGGAGGAGGAAAAAATGGTGTAATGCAAAAAAAAAGTTGGGTCGCTTAACCTTTCGCAATTTACATATGCGTACACTGTTTGAAAACAGCTTCTTTGTTGCACTTTACTCATCTTCAGTGGTTGATGGCACAATCTTCTGCAAGCTGTCCCCGGGCCACCCGCGCACGCCATAAAAACGTTTTATGGCTATCTTTTCTCGCAATCGTAAAATCGCAACAGTGACATCTTCTGTGATCCCGAAGGGTACCCAAAAGCGTGCTCTACGATGCTACCACGCATTTAACCAACTTTGCGGCAACCTATGACCTATGACCATGACGACGCCGTTAACATTGTAGCAAGCACGACGAGGTCGTGGTAGCAAGTAACCAATGTTGCAGCAAGCTACGCTAAAAGCATTAAAAAAAAAAAAACACCGATAACAAGATTAATGACAAAATATGCCCGCCGCCTTGCTTCTACATGAGAAATGCCTCTACATGTGGATAACAAGTGAAGCAGAAATCGGAGGTGCTATCATGTTGCAGAAATCACCACAATCTTCTATGGACGACGAGCGATTTTGTCTGCTTCTCCAGAAACATGCCATGTGATAGCGACGAATGACCCTATGCGACAGCAAACCCTATCGTCGTCAATCGAAAATCGCGCACATGTGACTGGCCTTTTTGGGGCGGGGAAAAGGAGAGGGCGATTCTTTAAAAAGAGGTGGAAAGGTAAAAAAAAAGGGGTGTGGAGTGCACGATAACTGTCTCTCATGTGAGGACACCTCAACTGATACACTCACGAGAGAACGGAGAATGTAGAGACAGTTAAAGAGAAGAAAAAAGAAAGTAGGCTAAAGAAGAAAGGGGGGAGCGGGTCACAGGAAGCGACCAAGGGGCAGTTTGGTGACCTTCGCTGGCTGTGTGCTTATCAGCTGCAATGTCTCTACACTGGCACCCACTGCTCCTGAACCCTGCTGCTGAGCACAAATAAGATGGGGGACTTGCCCCACACAGATAGAAAGAAAAGCAATAGGCATGCGGCAACAGGTGAAGAAGAGGGAAGGAGTGAGCCAAGGTGGTAGAGGGGGTCAACAAAGTGATAAAAAACAGGAGATCCAACAGGTGAGGAGGCGCCAAGTGTCGGTTAGCAGAACTGCAGCCGATGAATGTAGGGGGTGCATTTATTACAGATAGAAAGAAAAGCAATACGGCCCGCGGCAATGGGCAAAGAGGGGGAGAGAGCCAGCCGAGGTGGTCTAGGGGGGTCGGCAAAGTAATAAAAGAACGGAAGAGATCCAATGGGTGAAGAGGCGCCAGGTGGGGTTTGCAAGACTGCAGCGGATGAATGTAAGGGGTGCGTCTATTACGCTGGGGAAAGAAAAATCCAAATTTTGATGACTGAAGTTGGGGGTGCACTTATTATGTGAGTGCGTTCATTACACGAGTAAATAAAGTAATAATTTTTGAGACCATATGAAATAATAATTAAAAAATAATAATTAATTCCATTCCCTTTTCATCTTTTAATTTTAGCAGTCGGTGCAGGGAACTTCCAAGACTAGTCAATGCACACAATAATCTAAAAACGGCCAATGAAGCTTCAGTGAAAGGTTATACTAAACTTTTTTAATGGTTTTGGGATAGTGCACAATGGAGAAAGACCTTGGAACATGATGCGAAAAAGCCAATGCCAAAGAGTAAACAGTGCATCTCCTGCAGTTACATCTACAGTGAACAGTAACATGAAACTCGGTAGTCAAACTCTCATTACACAGACAAGGTTTTCAATACCTTCTCTTTCAGTTATTCTCCTGGACTGCTCTAATTCATAATAATAATAAGGACATTACAAAATTAGGGTAGAGGTAGACATATATGAAGTTCCAAAGTGAATAGTTCTGCACTAGCCTATGCCACTAAAATCTCCGACTTCACAACAAGCAGGCACTGGAACTTGTAGGTTCCTCTTATTACTTTTTTTTTTCCTGGCTTACTAAGCCTGTGGCAACAGCAGTGCCCTTGAAGAACTAGAGCACATTCACTGGACTTGTTGTCACAAGGATCTTTGAATGTGGAGCACCGGAAAAAAATAGGTGGCTATGATAAGCGATTAGTGCTTTTAAAGGGGCCCTGAGACACAAATTAAGTGTGTTGTTTTCATTGCTTCTTCTTTAACAGTGTAATACACTGATATTGTGGCAATGTCAGAAACAAAGCTGTTAAAATTAATATCTATGGAGAACCAACTTTTTTTTAACTATGGCAACACATAGTCTCTATTCTTGCAGTCAGAAGTGACACTTTTGACGACACAAAAAGATGAAATAGGTTGTGCCTTTTGATAGGTTTGACGCATCAAGCCGTGTGCGATATTCGTACCATCTCAGACAGGCTATATATACGTTTGTGCACTAAAAATTACAAAAGCACTATTTATACTTTATTAGATACAAATGGATTTCTGTTTCCGAGTATGAAAATGTTAAAAAAAAACGCAAGCCAGCCCTAGGAGCATTGTACAACAGCCTCCATGAGGCGATTGATTGATTGATTGGTATGTGGGGTTTAACGTCCCAAAACCACCATATGATTATGAGAGACGCCGTAGTGGAGGGCTCCGGAAATTTTGACCACCTGGGGTTCTTTAACGTGCACCCAAATCTGAGCACACGGGCCTACAACACTTCCGCCTCCATTGGAAATGCAGCCGCCGCAGCCGGGATTTGAACCCGCGACCTGCAGGTCAGCAGCCGAGTACCTTAGCCACTAGACCACCGCGGCGGGGCGCCTCCATGAGGCGAGTCATCCGGTTTGTTTCTGTGAGATTTGCGCAGTGATTTCAAACAGACTGGCATCAGTGAGAGAGTGAAACGGAAAGTTTTTTTCTAGTCATCTGCTGGGGTTTTCTGGTTTGAAGGCTAATAACTTCATCATTAATATGGCTATAACACACCACGACAAGGACTTGTCCTTGTTGTGGTGCGCTATACCCATATGAATGATGAACTTCAACTAACTAGCCCAGCGACGTGCCTTATAGCTAATGATTGATTCCCATTACCGTGTAATAATCTTGATAATTCTTTTTTGCGTTCACCTCAATGTTCGGCAAAGCTTAAACTCCAGTGCTTTAGATTCTACATCCACATGTGCCCGCATGATGTGCACAGCGCTTTGAATGCAGCCTCATCAAAAAAATGTCTCACTGCCGTGATTCCCAGGGTCATGTACGCAGAAATACCCAATACAGTAGATGAGAGAACGATTGCTGTCACAAAGCATGAAAACCAGTAATCTGAAGGTTGATATTTACTGATAGCAGGTTGTTTTTTCATCCACATTATTTTTTTTAGAGATACCGTAAAAGCAAGCATATAGTCCAGCCTTTTTTTCTAGATTTTACGGTACGAAATTTCAGTCCCGTACTATATGCAGGTCCCAAGAATTTTCGCCCGAAATTCAATTTTGTTTTCGAACATAGTGCGGTGCTATCATCATGATCATCAGGTGTTTCTACGCTTCTGCGCTAGGTGCTAGGTAGTGTTAACAGCTGTAGCCGGTGTTAGTCTTACAGACCCATGCATGAAACAGTGGTCGATGGCCTTTGCTTGAACTTGGCGGCCATAATGACGGTCACGATTTTGCTTCTGTGATTTTACGACATGTCAGCACCACGCAGGCCGTACCCGGCTGCTTTTAAAAGGAAAGTTATCGCTGCTGCCGAAGCCACCGGCAACTGTGTCACAGAGCAGCAGTTCGGAGTCAACGAGCGAAGTATTTGTGGTTGGTGGAAGCAGAAGGATGCCCTCTTTGCTTACAGCGACCAGTGAGAAAGTTTCGGCAGTCCAAAAAATAGAGTTTCCCGAAGTGGAACGAGAACTTGCAGACTTTGTGTGGGAGAAGCGAGCTGCACATCTCGCTGTTAACATCGAACTGCTCCAAGCGAAGGCAAAGGTGATCGCCCGAGACAAAGGCATTCAGCAAGAGGATTTAAAAGCGAGCAAGCATTGGGTGTCTCTCTTCATGCGCCGCACTGGGTTCTCCCTACGTTGGCATACGTCGATCTCGCAGAAGCTACCAAAGAGCTACAAAAAAGACCTTGTGAAGTTTCAAAAGTATGTAATTGGGTTGCAAAAGGCTGTCCCCTTTGAGCTAGACCAGACCGGCAATGGGAATGTCTACCTGGATATGCCCTCGGCGCTGATGGTGCATCGAAGGGCTCCCAGCAGGTTATCATGCGATCGACTGGGAACGAAAAAATGCGAGTGACCGTAATGTTGTTCTGTTCTGCAGACAGTCGCAAGCTACCACCCTACGTGGTGTTCAAAAGAAAGGCGCTGCCGAAGGGGGAGAAGTTCCTGAGAAATGTTGTCGTCCTCTGCAAAGACAAGGGGCGGATAGACGAATTGATAGTGCTTAACTGGATAAAGTCCGTGTGGTGTCGATGGCCCAGAGCACTTCTGGGGCTCCCTTCAATGCTTGTGCTCGAAGGGTTTCGGTGTCATCTGACCAACTCCGTAAAGCGACTGCTGCGGGGCTCCCGCACCGAGCTTATCCTCATCCTAGGAGGGATGACATCACAGCTGCAGCTGCCTTATGTGTGCCTTAATAAGCCATTTAAAGACCATGTCAAGCGCCTGTACGAGAGTAGATGATGTCTGGAGAACCACAAGTGACCACTGCCGGACAGCTGAAACGGGCCTAGCCAGCCATGCTGCGCTCTTGGATAGTCGAGGCTTGGGCCTGCATTCCTGAGATGCTCGTTTGCCGTGCGCTTAGAAAGTGCTCCATCTCGAACGCGCTTAATGGCACTGAGGATGATGCGCTGTGTGAGAACATTTCCAACAAGGGAGCATCAAAAAAGAGTGTGTCTGGTGACGATGATTAATAAAGTGTGTCAATAAATGCATTTTTCCATTTTCCTCGCAGTATATTTGGGGGAAAACTTTTTTTTTTTTTTTTGCGTTTGCTATCCCCAAATTACACCCCGAACTATATGCGGGTTTTTACGGTATGTCATAATCCCTACACAACACTTAAAAACTATAAACAACCTGCCTTATGCCTTCTTCAGGTTGCATCTTACAGAAAAAATTAATCCTTGATTCAGTCTCATCGTTTCATTCTTGCGTAGTGCTATGTGAATTTCACAAAAAGAGCTCGCTTAAAGATGCAATATTTGCCTCCACTGTGGGTTGATCTTCTTAACTAAGATGTTGCCAAAATAAAATATGCCTCTTACATACATCAGTCGAGAGCAGCGCACTTAGCCCAGGGACTGCTCCAGAGGTGCAGCGAAATGCCGTTCAGCACACTGTGATGACCCCAGCAAGGGCGACTGCTCAAAGGGGACCACCACTTCCCCGTAGTAGTTGAACACCTTCAAATGCGGAAGCCGCCGGGCCAGTGACTCTAACAGCAAGTCCACCACCTGGCAAGAAGCATTTTGCCCTTTAGCACTCCAAGTTACAACAAATCTATACAGTCGAATGTAGATGATTCGAACTCGAAGGGTCCCGAAAATTTGTTCGAATTAAAACAAGTTTGAATTAAAAGAAGTTAGAATTAATGAAAGCTAAATGAATGGAGGACTCACCTTGCAGCGACACATGTGCATTGAGTTGACACACGACGGGGAAGTTTCAGAAGATTTACATTTATTCACAAATCACGGAACATCCGTTATTACTTGAAGTAATCGGTGTTGCGCATCTGCACACGTTTGCCTTGCAGCGAAATTTTGCATGCAGCTTGCAAAACATTTTCTTGGCAAGAGAAGTTGCGCGCGGAAATGTCCAGCACCATCACTTTTTGAGGACGACCATAACGACTGCGTCTCCACATGTGCCGCAGCTGCAGCGTGGCCAGCACGTGACGAGAGAGAAGGAGCATCTCCACACGAAGAGAAGCATATCGGCATTTGGGAGAAAACTAACACTCCACGGCAGCTTTTTTTTTTAAAGACGATAGTCTTTCTTGGGGACCTTCGATGCAAAAACTTTGGTCTGTCTGTCTGTACATTTGTCTGTTTGTCCACCATTACCGCGAACCGGGTACTTAAAACAGCACCAGCCAAAACCCTACAAGGCCGACCCCATCCGCAGCGCCCACCAATGTGACTCAAGGATTAGCGTTCATACGTGTGCGATTTTCAATTAAACAGCAATTATTGCGCATATCTGAGGCACCATACCAATAGGTATATATTCTGCCTGTTCGTCTTTTACTAGAAAAGGCATACATAAGTTATTCTAAGGACCGTAGCGCTTATCACCCTGCGCTGACCATGCAACGCTTGCACGGAACGGGGAGTGTTTTCAATGCTTTGCTAAGACAAGACGGTAGTGACACCTACCCGTCGCCACGCTTTCTACAACTTATCACCTCTGAGACGAGCGCGCACACCCGTCTCAGGGCCATGCGCTTTGTTTTTCAAAAAAACTGCCAGATGGGGCTCATGTCTCATGTGTGACGTGACTTGATGCGCTCGTTCGCCTTCGCTGCAGGCTCGAGGCACTCTGACGCAGTGCCTCTAGAATACCATTCACCGATTTTCTTGCGCAGAACATCAAATAAATATTTTGTTCACTCTCTTAACACGCAAGACTATTGTCTGTCGACGACATTTGCAGATTACATGCAGATACAGGGCCAATTTTTTTTTTGTTCTCTTCATGCGTGTTGTCAAAAAGAGAAGGGTCTACCTGGCAGGGACGGGAAAGGGAGAAGAGTGGCACTGCCAGGTGAGAGAGAGCCAACACTCCTCAACAGGTGTCTTTTTTTTTTCCTTTCTTCGCGCATGGCATTGAAAGTAGAAGGGTCTTTACATGGCATGGACGAAAAAGAGAGAAGCGTGGCGCAGACGTGGCGCAGATTGGCATTTGAAAGAGAGCAAACATCCCACGGCAGCCTTTTTTTTCTATTTCTTTTCCTTTGTGTGCAGCGTTGAGGTGTCGGAGGTTGAGGTGTCGCGGGATGGGGCGTGATGCTTAGAGCATTTTCGAAGCGCAGTATGTTCGAATTAATCATAGCAAGTGCTTGCGCATTCAAATTACAGGCCATTGGAATGCACACAGCTTTGACGGCACCTCAGCGTGAGTTCGAATTAAACGGAAGTTCAAGTTAGGCATGTCCGAATTAATGATATTCGACTGTATAAACACACATGCTGCATCTAACAACGACAGATAAACAATGTGTGGTGCTTTTCTTCAGTGAGGTTCAATGCAGTGGTTTTACATGCCGAGACAGAAGAGGCAAGTACAGTTGTCCTTGGATATTTACACACTACAAGCACTAAACTTCAAACTGTGTGATATGTCAATAGTATGAAATACAGGGCTTGCATTTCCCAAGCTTATCTGAAAAGAGCACATCTTGAACAGTTTCGTGACAATGGAATAGGACAAGTGTACATCCAACGATCTCATTGCACAACGTAACCAACAACAAAAGTTTTATCTATTTGTAGCGCACGGGTGTAATAAGGAGGGTGCAAGATGCAGGTTTCGTTTGTCTTCACGAACTTCATCATCTTGCTGCTTTTCAGTCTGAGTTTGCAGAAACAATCTATCAGAAGTTTGCAAACTGGTTCACAACAATAAACAAGTTAACACTATCTTCAACGTGTTGCACAGTACTCTTGACTTGAATCTGTAAAGCCAAAACACTTAAAGGGGCCCGCAACATTTTTCCAAGTAGCCATGGAATAGATACAATAAAGGAGCTTTATTCTTCACGACTATTTCCATGCCTGTTTCTTACTTACTCTTCTGTTTCATTCAGCTTTCGCTCACAAAGCCTGTCTGAAATGCTCAGCGCAAACTGCGCCTCACTGTTTTAAAAGGTTCACGATTATTGTAGATCATTCTGTTAAGACCGCACGCAACATGTGAACACTCAAGATTATTCTAAAGCTTCCGTGAAGACCAGTGGTAAGGTTAGAATATTCTGTGGCACATGTATAAATATCGACGCGCTTTGCCGCTTGCCATTTGATCAACAGCTGACGATCTGTCCGCCGCTATCAGTGCCAGTGTCTTGCTGTACTCTAACTTTCTCTTTATGTGGCAACAAGTTCAGTCCAATAAAGAGTTTAACCTGAACATCCTGTCTGCTTCCTATGGCCAGGTCACGACCCCGTGACATCTGGTGGAGGTGCTTGCTGGCCTATATACCGAACTCTCCCCTCCAGCCGTGAGCCAAGCCCAAACAATAACGAGGCCGTTTAAGCACGAACAAAACCGATGTATTTATGGAGGATGATAGAGTTATAATAGTAATATAATGAGGAAAATAGGACAAGTGCCAAGAGTGCTAAAGAAAACTCAATGATCGAACGAAGCAAAAAATTAGTTCACCGGTAGTGCCGTAGTTAGTTGTGCTGCCAGCCGCTGTCAGCAACGCTTCTCACCATCGAGGTCGTTGACCTTGAACACGCATGGCTCCTGTTATGCTGCTAACAAATGCTGGGTGAGGCTCACTGTGGTACACGCGTGGCTCACCTGGTGGGGACATCCCATTGACGTTTCAACCACCCCAGGCCTGAGGTAGTCAGAAGGCTGCTTCGGCCCCAGGTGCGTGGACGGCTGGTTTGACCCCAGGTGGGAGCCTGCTGCTACCTCGAGTCCACAACACAACAGGTCCCTGCTCCCGCGCCCTGGTTCTTTGATTGCCAGCCACATCTGCCTATCTTCTTTCTCTTCTTTCTCGGTCTTGTCCCACCGTGTCTAGCACCACTGCGTTCCCCGATTTCACACGTTGTCTTCCTTGATGGTCTCAGAGGCGCGCAGTTTGAACGAGTTTCCCGCAATTCACTGTTCACTTGGCCCTTCACACATGCCCCTCCTTCGGGAAAGAAAGGTTATTTTTTTAAATTTGAAGGTATGTTTTAGCCCCATTGACCACTTTTTCGCGCAAGAACACTGGCACTGCCATAGTGAACACACGTCCGCAAGAAGTCCACAAAAAATGTTCGAATACACACAAGAGAAAAAAATTTTAACACTTCCGTGCAAGCTTATGTTACAACCTACTCATGAAGTCGGCTCCTACATTCTCTGAGCCTTTCATATGTCTAGTAACAAAAGAATACTCCTGTATAGCCAAACTCCACCTTAGTACTCTGCTGTTCGGGCATTTTGCCTTAGCTAGATATTGCAGTGGCTGATAATTCGTTTGTACAACAAACTGCATTCCGTACAAAAAAAGAAGTAAAATTTTTCTATTGCCCAGAATAGTGCTAGACATTCTCGTTCTATGGTGGGGTAATTGTGTTCGCGGGGCAAAAGCTGTCAGCTGGCGTATGACACTGGATGTAGTACGCCATCGTATTCCTGCATGAGAGCTGCCCTGATACAAGTGTCAGATGCATCCGAACGCAGTATGGAGACGCGTTTTGGATCAGGAGCTCACACTATTGGTCCCGGTGCAAGGGCTTGCTTCAGTGTCTTGAAAGCTGCTTCTCTTTCCGGGGTCCACAAAATGTTGTTCTCTCTTTTCTTGGTCTCTGTACGCAAGCAGGAGTGGTATCAGCAGCTGGTTCCACGATTTCGGATCCCCTTGGCATAGCTTACACAGAATCTGTTTCAGCGTGCCATTGAATTTTTCCACCATCCCGTTGCACACTGGCTGGTATAATGTTGAATTCGGATGCTTGATGGACAGCAAGTTGTTGAGTTCTCTCACCAACTCAGACGTGAAGCTGGATGCCCTATCACATAGAATCTCACAGGGAAATCGCTGAAAATCAAGCCCTAGGAACCACTGACCTGTGTGAGACGATTAGAACGATTGTACAAGAAGAGCTGTGAAAATTGCTAACTTCACCGCAGCCTCAAGTGAACTGCATCCCAGACGTCGTACGCCAGGAGATCCAGCGATTGCTGGGCGTTCTTAAGGTTTCATTTCATTTCATTTCATTTCATTTCATTTTATTTCCTTAAAGACCCTTTGCGGGGCATTACATAAGGGGTGGGTACATAAAAATTGAGCAGAAAACAATCGTTTGTCCTAAAGTGAAAGATGATTAGTGATACTGGTTGTGAAGGTAGATAAACAAGTAATGGCAGGAATGTCGCCTGAAAGGCCATTCCAGGCAACTGCCGTGTGAGGAAAAAATGATGTTGAAAAAGTAACGGTGCGTGCACGTGGGCGTCCGACTTGAAGTGGATGATTAGTTCGTTGAGAGATGTACGCTGGGGGAACAAAATAAGGTGGCATGCTCATCGAGCTGTGAAAAAACTTATGAAATAACGAAAGACTGGCGATACGGCGGCGGAGGGAAAGGAGGGGCAGTTGAAGTTCTGCCTTTAGTGAAGATACGCTGACGTCACTAGAGTAAGAATTATTGATAAATCTAGCGGCACGGTTTTGAATACACCCGAGGGCGTCTTCAAGATAGGCCTGATGCGGGCTCCAGATTGGGGAAGC